CTTATTTCAGAGAAGCATGTATTTGTATGACTTTTAATGAGTGTAGCTTCTATATCAATGTTTTTCCAGCCACAAGTGATGGCTTTTTTCTTGAATAGACAACAGAGAGGAGGGTAAATGGTGAGTAGAAGGTCTCAGAGAGACCGAGTTGAGATCACAGACATGAGAGGTCCAAAAACTCCTTTAGTTCACGTAAGATTCCCTCCACTCACTTGCTATACCCTCTCCCGCTCCAACACACGTACACACCCCTTTACCAACAGATTGGAGTCCTCCTTAACCCCACCTCATCTTCCTGCGCTGAATCCACCATGATCCTCATTTCCAAGTTCATAACCACCTCTCTTTCCTGCTTAGCTCCTTTCTGCTCTTGATCTGAACAAACCTGTCACTTTTCCTCACCTTTACAAGAACAAAATAATTCCTTGCTTTAAAATGAAATAGTGTGGAGATGGTAAGTCTATAAAGCCCAAAATATTTTTCAAGTGAAGTATTTTTTTAAGACATTGACAACAGTTTCAAAAAGTCAATGAAGGTTGAAACACAGAACGTTGCAATGGCCTGTAGATTATGCATTTGCTGAATTAGATCTAGCAGATCATCAACTGTTATAAAAAAGAAAATGACACAAAATGTATATGTATGCAGGGAAAAGGTTAAAAGCATATGCAACATAATATTAACAGTAGTTTCACTGGGCTACTGGAGGGAGTGCTAATTTCTTCCCCTATATACTTATATTTTCTAACTGTTCTATAATCTACACATATTTCATACCCAATTAAAAATTAAATACATCAATTGAATATATGCCTAAGGAGAAAAGGGTGGGAAAGGTGAACAATGAGGGAAGAGAACGTAGCAGCAGGGAAGTGAGAAGTGAAGGAAAAGAAGCAACTGAAGTGGTCCACTCTGAGAGGAACAGGGGACACAGCTTCTAAATCAGTCTCCATCTCCATCCTGCAAGCCCAGGAGTCCCGCACTCTGTTCTATGCTATGGCTAACAGACCCTGGCCAAGGCCAATGCAAGGCAAAGAACTGCCTGCATACAGGCATCAATGTAACCATTTATTTAAAAGGAGAACTTAACTTCTTATTGGGGGTGGAGGAGGAGTACACTCAAGAATGCTGATATTGCCCAGGCAGGTGTGGCTCAGTTGGTTGGGCGTTGCACAGAAAGCTTGCCGGTTCAAGAACACACAGAAAGTCTTTTTTCAAGGAATAAAATGCACGTACCCGGGTTGTGGACTCAATCTCTGATGTGGAGTGGGCAGGAGGCAGTCAAACAGTGTTGTGCTCTCTCTCGCATTGTTGTTTCTCTCTTCTCCCATCCTCTCTCTCGAAAAATCAATAAATTATTCTTTTAAGAAATGAAAAAATAGAACGCTGATATTCACAGAGCTGCTTCTCTCCACCTTTGCTTTTGCATCTCAAGCTCCAGGAGTCACTTAAAAAGCAGGCTATGTATTTTCAAGAAGTAAATCTCTTGGATGAGTACCTTATGTTCACAAGAGGGAAGGTGCCGGGCTGCGTATTGGAACTCCCGGCCAGAGAAGACAGCTATCTCTCTTGGCACAGGTTCTCGGGGATGAGACCACGTCTAGTGGGGATTTTCTCCAGATTCGACAGCCTTGGCCCTACCAACCCGCGCAGCTTCGTTTGCACCATACATCACTCGTCACGAGTCTTTCGTTTTTCCTTTCAAGCATCCACAGGTCAAATACTGTGTGTTCCCAACCGTCTGGGAGCTTCTTGGGCCAGGAACGGGACATTCATTTCGCTCAGCACTCCTTTAACATTTCTATTGTGTTCGATTTCCCACTCCCCCTGCCCATGTCCCTGGAGAATAACTTCTTCCTTGTTTTAAAAACTTGGACCACAGTCAAGGTTGATGTGTTTCTCCACTTTGCAGGATATTTTCTTCAGGAGAGACAAAACAGAGGCTAACAGAGTAGCCAAGGCTTGTGAGAGGCCTTAAAAAATCAGCAGCCTTATTAAGAACACACAGAAAGTCTTTTTCAAGGAATAAAATGCCGATGACACAAGGCACCATAAACGGAATTATTCATAAAGGTGGACTGATCCTCAGAAAGGGTCCCCGGCAATGTTTTCTCTGAGTGACCCACTTTAAAAATCTAATTTCATTTGTTTATGGGTGAGGGAAAGGGTCAGAGTAAAGAGAGTGGTTTCATAAAGTCTCTTCTCTTTGACTTAAAATTGAAATACAATATTCTCCTGTTGGAGGTCATAAAACTAATTCTGATCCCAATGGGCATGGGGAGATTAGAAAACAAGTAGAGGGAAAAGGAGACAAGAGTAAATCAGTGGCAAGAGTATCCTCCCTTCCCCATTCTATCATGTTTTCATCTCATCTTCCCCACGCTCTCCCTCAAATCCCAGCCCCACCCATTAGAACATCACTGCTCCCTGATGTCTAATGAAAGACGCCTCCGTGGACTTGTTAGGACATGAGGAAACAAGCCTATTCTTTTTTGTATAAAAGTAACATTTTCAAGGAAAGAAGACATGAACAAATATTTAGTGGGGGTTAGCCTGAAGTACATGATCTTTTAATAAAAAATTGATAATGCCTCATTTTTATGAGCCATGTGGGAATTCTATCTTTCTTCTCCAAAACATGAGTCAAACCTCCAGTCTTCCTGTCGTATATCTACCATGTCACCATGGTTTTTCTTACCACTGATTTCAAATAGTGTCAAGACACTAGTTATGAATTAAAGCAAAAGACGGTTATTTCTCTTTATTTTTCTTTATGAAATATCTCTTCTCAAATGTATTTTCCATATTAACAGTGTTTGCATACCATGACCAAAGAAAGTAAATTTGGTATCACAGAAAATAATGACCCCTACCCAGATTATGTCTCCCCCCCCACCCCCCTTCCCCCCAGAGAAAAGCCAAACTTTCTACTGGAATAACAGATTCAGTTGAGTCCAGTTCTGGGGTATTCATGGGCTTGGAGGAAAGAGCTAAGGAGTCGTTCTCTTTAAGAGCTAAAAGAGGGGCAACCTGTGGGTCATGACACATCAGTGGTTTTAAAATCAATCTACACATCACCACCAGCATTTCAAAAAATATATGGAATAAAGTAGAAAATATCAGTATGTATAAAAATATCAGCATGCACAGCATGGTGTAAGGGTAAGTACTGATTTGTGAAAATCTGTGTGGTGTGTGTGAGTGTGTGTGTGCACTCACACTCACATGTGTATATTGGATCTCAGTGTAAAAGGTAATTCTACTGTGGTCACAATATAAAAAGCTTAAAAAAAAAAAGCTCAAGAAATTCTAATCTAGGGCCCAGAATCTGGAGTCAGACAGAGGTGGGTTCCGGCATGGCTCTGCCTCTTACTCCATCTGTGAACTTGGTTAGGTGGCTTAATCTCTCCAGCCTCCTCACCTGAAAGATGGACGTAACCATAAACCTAGGATTGTCATGAGATCAAAAGAGGAAACATGTAAAGCCATTGACACAAGGCCCCACAATGTTAACATCCATCCTTAGATAAATGCTCAGTTCACAAATGCAAGCAGACATCAGTTAATTTACACTGTGTTCGGAAAGGACAAATCCAGTGTGAGAGATGTTCATCAATTAGACACTTGTATACCTTTTGTACTCTCCAAAGAGTTGGCTCTTCTGTAGGACTATCTATTGGGGCCATTTGATCCTTGTGAGACAGCTCTCTGAAGTTAGTATTCTAGAAATACATTTGGATTTCAGAAATCCTTTTCCAGCATGTAAGCACCAAACCAATGAAAAAAGTTCTGCTAGTGTTTTCTTTTTCTTATGCAGAATTGATAAAAACAAATTATTCACATTTTGTGCTTCATTGTTACAATATAGCTTCTGACTCTCCAGCAAGTGACTAATATCACACGTCTAAAGACCTTCAAAGATATCAGAATTATCTCAACTATGGAAAGACCCAGATTCAAATAGATGACAAGATTCCTCATTTATAAATTTTGTAACTAAGCAAAAAACAAACAAACAAACAAAAAAACCCAAGCAAACTACATACTCAACATACAGATATTTTTTAAACGGTAACATACATACTTCACAATCAAGTTCTTTCTATTCTTGGCATTTAGTTTGTGGAGTTACTGAATTCTGAGTGAAGAAAAGGAAGAGATCCAGAAAGAAAGAGTGAGACCAAGAAACCAAGAAATATAAGACAGGTTGATAGTAGGGAGAGGATGGAATGCTGAAATTGTCAGCAGCCTCTTGGATGCAGGTAGGGAGAGAAAAGTGTCAAATCAACAGGAAGTTTCTTATTTTTGGGTCTACAGAAAGGAAATGGAGATTTGAATAAAAAAGAAAAATTGGGGGTGAAAGTAGAGAGAAGCATCTAACAGTTGATGAAAAACAACTCTTCTGATTATTGAAGGGTTATCCAAAAAAACATAACTGAGCCCAAAAAAGGATGAGGAGAGGGAGGCCGGTTCGGGTGTTCAAGCAGAGAAAATTAAATCAAAAGATATAGTTATAGAAATTTCCCAGGGTGCAGGCTACAGGACTGGGGAAGACACAGATGTTTGGAATGAAAAATTCTTTGCAGAAAGTCTGGTCATAGACTTGGGGTAAAAATTAAGTTCTCCCTTAGAGATTTAAAGATAAATGGAGAAAATGCAAGTGAAGTATGACCGAAAGATTTGATTGATCTAACAGGAATATATGTAATGCCATGAATCTAGTATTTTATGAAACATTCACGAGGAAATGAGAAGGGTTCCTACTGCATCATTCTAAAAATTGTTTTCCAGGAGTATGTTGATGAGAAATGTCACCACCTCCATTTTCATCCACAGCATGTTCTCGATAAATAAGAGGACGCAGAAAGGGAGAGAGATTTTTCCCATGCCAGGGCAAGGATAGCTACCCTGATTACCCATTGTCAGTCCTAACTCCTGCATCGCCCCCAGGCACCATCAACAAGGCCTATGCATTTGCCATCATCGCATTTTCCACTCACTTGCTCTGCCCTTCTGTCCATTTCACTGAGCTGGAGCTCCCAGCAGCAACTCTAGAAGAGAAGAAGAGGCGGGGGGTGGGGAATGGAGCATGCATGGCTCTAAAAGCCTCCCAGAACCCAGAATCCAATGAGAAGTCACTAAATACACAGAGATGTGAAGCTAGCTGTCTAGTCCAGAGTGCTGAACTAAGTCCCCAATCCCACTGGAGCTGAGGGTGGGGTGAAAGGCCCCACAGGGAGGCTGGGAAGAACCTGGGCTTTTGGAATCAGATCTGGGCATGGAATCTCAGTTCTACCACTTCATACAATGTGAACTTGGGAACTTACTTAAGTCCCTGAGCTTGATTTACTTCTAACAATACTAGGCCTCATACTGTGGTCAGGAAGATTAGATGAGGTGACCTAAAAGATCACCTGATATATCGCAGGAGCTTGATGAGTGCATATCCAACTGCCTATCAACTCAGACTTGCTAGAAAACTGAAAGCAACCAGGTTTGAGAACTTTGAGTCTGGATTGTCCAAATCATCATCTCTCAAATATAAATTTAGATCCTGAACTTTGCAAACACAAAGCATTTTTTGATAAGATAGAGTAATAGTTAACATCTGTGATATCACTAGCAAAACATAAACATTAAATGAGGTTGAATGGACACAACTTCGAAGAACTCTAAAAAATTCAAAAGTAAAGGCCAAATTAAGTTCTCCAAATATTCTCAACTCCCTTGTTCCAGACAAAAATATCCCTTATGTCTATGCCTGAAAATTTAATACTTGAACACAACCCACCAACTGGGGGTGGGAGAAAACACCTTGATTGTTTTAGAGCCTTGCCTATTCTTCTAAAAATGTACTCTTTTCATAACTTATAAGCATTTTTAAAATGGTTCAAATAGGTATAAGTTTCTGTTTAAGGAATAGAGAAGACCTTACCCCTTTAGTGTGGCTCCCAAGTTCATCTGATTCCAGGTCATGCATTCAAGCTGGGAGGTCATCTGGTATAAATTGTCACTGTCAGAAAAACATCCAGAGTTAGAAACGCATGATTACAAAAAATAAAAATAAATGTGCCATTGTCTCTTGAAACAGCAATGGAGCTTTAACTTCCCTTTACAGTGGAAGCCTCCATGTTTTCCAGAATGACAGATCACAAGTCTGAAATAATTTCCATTTCACCCCACTGATCTTTGCACAGTTATTCACTTCACACAGCAGAAAGGATGTGAGAGTAATTTGGAAGCCTTTAAAAAACCTTAGTATAGAGTAAACGTTGAAGTTTCTAAAGAGGTATTAAACCTTGGAAGGGAAGAGGCTAAAGGGAGTGAAACTTTGAAAGGCAACACAGGCTGGATAACTCAACATTAAAGTTAAAAGCCTGGAGCTGAAAGTAAAAAGACAGCAGATTAATTATTCGTGAAAAGGCCATTAAGTTGTTTTAATCAAAAGGATAAGTATCATGTGGATTATGAGGGCCTAAAACGTCAGAGTGATGGGTGATGGATGGTCTCAAACTCAAGGACGTGACGAGGAAGAGAAAGAGGATGAACTATGCACCACGAAAGGAATCATTTTCTATAAATTTTTTAATCCTGGTACAAGTCAAATGGAACTTTTTTTCTAAAAGCCTCCAACCCAGTTTTATAAAGCTGGAGGAGGGAAAACAATGGCTGATCACTTACATTAAGACCCCAAAGGAGAAATACATTATCATGTAAACCAAAAATTGTTCTCTCCCTTTTACTTTGCACATACAACTGTTATAAACATCTCTATTACATGTGTTTTTGAACATTACTCTAAACGCATTATAGAAGAGCTATCACAGCCATGCCCTGAAATAACACCCCAAAGTATCCTGCATGTTCGACTCTTTTAAGCATCTTTATTACAGGTTTTTTAATTTTCATTAATTCATTCATTTTCTATTTATCTCATTCTTAGAAAACTAGAAGATAAATCAATCATCAGGCATCTCCTAAAATATCCAAGCTCTATTAAGAATGAATTTAGTCCTGAACTGAAATGGTTAATTATGAAATGTGAAACCCAAGAGATGAACGGTTTGTTTGGGAGCCCTTGGTCTAAACACATTACAGACATTACAGATCATTTTCGTTCCACCTTCACGGCAGACTGTGAACAAAGGGTAAGAAGCTTTCAATATCTAATGTGCGATATCAGATTGCAAATTCTGGACAATCTCCGTCTTGTCATGGCATTCCTTTGGGTTGCCTTCATCCATCGGGCCGGGGCAACACCAGTTTAATTATGAGAAGGTTTAGTCAGGCCAACCAAACTGGGAAATTACAGCAACTCGGAATAAATGAAAACTGTGCTCTCTCTTGGCACAGCTTGATAAATCAAGGTAGAGTACATCTGCCTCTCATATAATCACTCTGAAAATTATTTTGAAGATAACACAGGATAAGGAGGAAATCAGAGTCCAGAAGTGAATTTTACATATGAAATGAGAAGTGACTTCAATCTCAAAGTATGTGTAGTTTCATTAGTCAGTGTATGTCTGGACCCCATCATTCATCCCCATGTCTGACTGGCTATTATGCTACTACAATATCCTACATATCAATGAGAAAAAAAATGATTAGTTTCTCCTGCAGCTTCCCGGTTTGCAGCAGCGGCCGGTGCTGGTCTGTGCCACTACGTTTCTCAATTCCATGAATTCTTGCTGTAAGGCCAGTGTAATTAATTCCTGAAGGACCCCAATTTTTATTAGAAGTGCCAGCCTGCTGCATTTAAACACAGGAGAGTTTCTTGAACTTTCTTTGGGTTGACAGTTCATTAATAAGCAGCTCCTCCACAATCTCTACTGGTTTTTGTTCTCCTGCGCCTTTTCATCAAGCAATCCATTTATTAATCTTGCCATTAATCTCATCCAACAGGCATTGTATTCCCCAGGCAGCTCTATATATTTGTCACTAATTTTTAAAAAATTGTTCACCAGTTGAATCACTCAGCTCCAGCTGACAATTTTCCTAGGCCCTATAGGGATGTGTGATCTTTCTAAAATTATTTCATCCCTGCATAAAGCTAAGAAAGTCCTAATTTCTAAGAGGGCTGAGAAACAAGATGAATGACAGAAGTTTACACATATGGGTTAATGAGTCCCAAATATTGTTTAGGAATTTTCTCACAGAATTAAAGAAAAGTCCAATAGATTCCTAAGGGTCTCTGTATGGAAGTACCCCAATGAGAAAATATTTTAAGGACATTTTCTTGGCCCCCAATACCTCAAATACAAGGTATGTCTTACATATAGGTATCTTCCTAATAGGTGCTTAATAAATATATTGCCCTGTCCAATATGGTAGTCACTAGTCACATGTGACTATTGAGCACTTGAAATATGGCTAGTGCCACATGTTGAAATAAGATTTTACTATATTGAGTTATATAGAATATTTCAAAATTAATTTTACTGTTTTTTTTATTTGGCTACTAACAAATTTCAAATTATGTATTGACTTGCATTATGTTTCTGTTGCACAGTGTTACTCTGTAAGTTTTAGAATATTGAGCAAATCAATTCAGTTCTTTGCACCTCAGTTTTCTTATCTGTCAAATGGGAATATTAATCTCAATCAATCTAACTTTACAGAGATGTTGTAAAGCTCTAATAATGGCTCTTGGAGGCCTATACAGATAAAATATTTTAATTTTATGATCATACAGGTTTCAGGTATGGGTTTCTATATGATCATATTAACCAATGTCATCCTAATAAATTTAATTAAAAAATTAAAACAAACAAAAATATTTTAATTTTTCTAACCTATCAAATTTTGCACAGCACTTCCATACATCTCGAATATTCTTCACAACAGTTTTACTGGTATGTGGTAGTTATAATTACGATTCCCATTTATCAGAGGAAGACCTGGGCTCAGAGAAGTGCCTAGTGCTGACTTTCCTGATGTCCCTACCCCGACCCTGCCCAGCCCCTTTGAAAGCTTCAGACATCATTTGGCCTCTGAGCCTTGTCCTCTCATTGCCATTTAAATAATAGTAATAATAATGTAATAGTAATACAGACAAGAGGCTGGAAGCGAAAGAAACATACCTAAGAAGGCATCATAACCTATTTTATCTCCAGAAAGTGACAAGATGCAAGATGTCCAACACATCCTCTTGAGCTAACCAAGGACAGTGTGCCAGTAGAAGCCCCACTTCTTGATTTTAGTGGTCCTGATAGCCCAGCTTCCAAATCCTCAGAAGGGGAGAGAAGGTGGGATGGGAAGAAGAACTTTCAGACAATCCCCAAGCTACTAATAGGTTTCCTGAGGCCAGCGATCGGATCACAGCACAATTTCAACCACATCCTGCCTTCTCTTGGCTGGGAGTCCCCAGCAGCTCAGTCAGTAGGCTTGGCTGGCACAATCTTTCAACTGGAAGTCAACGACAGCAATGACAATAACTGCTGCTGGGGAGAGGACAAAATATGAACTGGAGCTAAAAATACTGGGCCCAGGATGCTCAGGCTCCGATCTCTTTGGGCAATCGGTCAACACCCAGCTCTCATTATGAAAACCCACAGAAAGAGGCAGCACTGGTCAAAGAATATATAGCCTCTGACAAATAGTGCATCTAATTATTAAATAACCACTGTAGGTGTCAACCGCCTCATTCCCAGAGGAGATCAGATAAGCAGGTGGTTTGGCTCAGAGCGACCACAATGGTCACGTAGGCATTTCAGCTCCCGGTCTAACTCTGTCTGTTCGGAAGTGAACTCTGAAACTGCAGGCTGCCAAAATATATTCTGAAAGTCATGCTGTCCTTTATATTTTTGTAAGTGGGTCTTTTTTTTTTTAAGTCACTTGTTTCCTATGAAAGAAATGTTTGAAGTTGGAGGCTAAAGAGAGAGGAAAAAAACTTCTATAACTGGGATTAATGCAAGCTGGAGAAAAATAAAAGGAAGTCCGTCCTAGCAAAAAGGGGAACTTAAAAGGAAATCAGTAGTAGATCATATAGAGTTTATTTTGGCCTGGACTGCAGTATTACTGAGTTCTCGACCTCTGCACAAAAAGAAAGGAAGAAGAAAACCCTCAGCTATTATCTGGACTGAACCTCCTCCACTCTTCAAATGCATGTGTAATTCAAGTACATTTTCATCTTTAAGTGTGTTTACTATATTCAACAGAACAAGGTAGAAAAGTACCTATCACCACTGGAATTGAACCACTGAACCTGGTTGAGATTGGAGTTACCTCTGCCAGATGTTTGCTAGTTGGCAAAGTAGCATCTTTTTTCTCCATTACAGTTTACATTCGGTATTATTCTGTATTAGTTTCAGGTGTACAGCATAGAGGACAGTCGTATACTTTACAAAGTGGTTCCTGTGGTATTTCTTTCTAGTACCCACCTAGCCCCAGACACAGTTATTACAATATTATTGACTATATTCCCCACGCTGTAATTTACATCCCTGTGACTATTCTGTAACTACCAATTTGTCAATTTGTACTCCTTAATCTCTTCACTTTTTTCACCCAGCCTTCCCAACCTCTCTGAAAAGTAGCATCTTGGTAGAAGAATTTCCCCATAGGATGATATTTTTTAAAGCCAAATAAGAAAATGGCGACTATAACTGGCATTCGTGATCAGAATTCCTCGTGTTTCCAGCGTTTGCTATCATCGCTCTGCCCCACACTGACAGAGAGGCCTCTGTGGTTTCACCTGTACCTGATAACGAAGGCTCAAGAACCAGACTTTCCTGCTGCCCTTTTCCTGAGTTCTTCCCTCTGAGGCGCCTTGGAGGCTGCCAGTTGAGAAATTTCTGCCCAGCAGGCCATGGTGAATAATTATTTTACAGTCAATCTCTTGGTATTGTAATTTCTCTCAAGCTCACCAGTTAACCAAAGAAAAACCCACTGGGGATTCAACTTCTATTAATAAACACTTGGTCAGCACAAAAGTTGAAGGAATATTTGAAACTAGATTTTCCTCTCTCCCTGGAGACAAGTCCAATGCAAGCCCTTGGTTTTGATAACACTGCC